AGTATACATAATGACAGACCTTAAATACCTAGTAAAGAAATGGTATTTCTTTGTTGCAAAAATAACACTGACGATCAATTTAATAGGTACAGAAAATGCGAAAACATTGATTGATTAAAGGAAATCAATCATACCCAGAATGTACATTTTTGCATAAAATAATTTAAAAAATCAATTGGATTTAATAAAATAAGAAATATACATATATAAACAGCTGTTGAACTTAGAAATTGTTATCCCTAACTCGTGAGGAGATCTTTAAAACCGCTTTACGGAAGCTAAAAGAAAAAATTTAAATTGAAAATGTGCCCAAAAACCTCTAAAATGCATTAAATTGGGTGGTACTGTTTTATGGTTGTTTTACCAAATACAAATACAGGAAAGTACGGTTATAACGAACAAGTAAGGAACAAGCAAATGAGTTCGTTATAGAAGAAGTTCGTTTTATCCAAAGTAAGGCAAATAGCGGCTTAGCAAACAAAAATATTCAGTAGAAAAACTGGTAGATTTTATGTCGTTTTTGGCAATATTTTTTATGTAAAAATTGCTAGCGTTAACGTATTAATTAACTTACGCAGTAAAGTTCGTTATAACCAAATTAAAATAAACGAAAACCTAAAAATAAATAAATTGTTCGTTATAAAAATGTTCGATATATCCGTAGTTCGCTACAAGAATAAAGAATAATATGAAAAATATGTCTTAAAACTTCTGGACCAGGAAATGTTTTCGCTGTTTTACCCTCAGTCTTAAATCTATGAAAAAATGTGCCTTAGAGAGATATAGGATTTAAACCCAATGTTTTTATGGATTAAATCCGTTCAAGACAATTTGAAGTCGATTTACAATTGTCAGTCCGTCTGGCTGACCAACTTTGCACATCGTAATTTTTCTTCAACACTTAAATCAAGTTCAAAGGTCGGTCCACACCTTTTGGTACCACTCCACTATAGGTAATTTGCCCTGTTTTGAGGAAAAAATTAATAACAGCGGTGTTAAACGATTTTTTGACTTTTTAAATGATTTATATGTACAAGAAAGATAAAACGCAGATTTCCACAGTAGAAACCGGATATAACGAACAACGGTTATAAGCAACTACACATATAACGAACAAAGCTAATTCTTTTTCAGATATTTTCATTAGTTTTCTTAAACACAACAAACGGTTGAAAACTATTAGGTTAGTAAGTTAAACAAATTTCGACCCCGCGATTAGATTTTTAAAGAAATAATTATTACAATGTTGTATGTTTTTGCAGAATGCATTAATAGTAATTAATTCAGTACCCATTTTTACTCTTTGATGTTATTAATATGTAAAAGTGAGATCAAACCAAGTTTACTACAGTCGAACACGATTATAGTAAACCCTGGTTATACTGAACAACATTTTTTCGTATGTATTTTTTTATTTTTAATCAATGCTGAAAAAATCAATTTTTGGTGGTTTATATTCTAAGGGAAACCCAAGCCCACCATTTCCTCTTTTGCACTTTTAAGATTTTTTCTCATAATCTTTACTTCAACAACCTATTTGCGGTTTACGAGTCTTGTTATTTATTTTGTAATCAAAATTCGAGTACATTCGTTTTTTTTCGCGGAAAAGTTCTATCTTCCTATGACATTTGGTCCATTTTGACAAATGCATGCAAAATTACCTAATTTCCTTTCTTAAGTTGACGCATTTTCGCTGTTATTGCCACGTTTACGTGCGGGGACGTTGTAAATAACAATATGTTTATTTGCTTTTATTTCTTTCATCGAACCAAATATCGAAAATTGTATTGTTTTTTATTCTGAAGTTCTCTACAAAAAACGGATATATCTTGAAAAACGCAAAAAATCGCAATTTGAGACGTATTGGACTCGATTTAGGAAGCTTTCATTTATATATTACAGTTGTCAAAAGATCAGACAAATTTAAACATTTTAGTAAAAGTCTATCTAAAATGACTTATGTGTAAAAAATAAACACATTTATTTTATTATAGTCAACTATGTCAACTTTGAATCGCTACACAAACGTATTAACAAATATTATATATTTAATAAACAGCACACACCACCGCCAATTCTCTCCATGTTTAATTTTTATGTTTATGATTTGTATTAAGCGGTTTCAAACGTTTTAAAATAAGCCTTAATTTTTAAAAATTTTTATTTCTTTAATTTTATTTTCAAAGTGTGGAGTTTGGCAACGATTTCCACCGCTTTAAAGACACATTTACGCAAAAAATCATACAGAATCATAAATTTTGATATGTTTTCTTTTTATTGCCACCAAAAAATATATTATTTTCCAAAATTGAAAAAATTACTTTTTGCCTAAAAACAGTCCAAATTACCTATAGTGCACTCCCACAATGTGGTCAAAGTATTCCTGAAAATTAATTTTATAATATGCCTACCGCACAAAGGGGGGATACGATTTGGTTCATTGATTGCACATCATAATATTTTACCAAACATACATACAGTAGTAAAGTCGGACTGGGCCGACTATATGATACCCTTCACCACTTTGGGTATATTCTACATATGTATCCCAACAAATGTCGCCTTTTCGGAGGAACATTGACATGAAATTGAACGAACTTAAATATGTGATCTTTATCTATAAGTACACCGACTAACATGAATCCCAACACATGCCATTCTCTAACCTATTCTAAATTTTGTAAATAGATTTAAAGCAAACTTTACACACGCTTTGGTAAGCTTCACTGTTTAAAATGTATGTATTATTTGGAGTACAATAAACATGAATAGGTAGAAATTATATGTGGAAGCTATGCTATATCTAAATATGAACCGATTTCAAGGAAACTTACCAGAGATTAATTTACACTCGTATTAATTTCAGTACGTTGTGTCAATCGGCCTAACTATGGGTCTTAAATGCACCATTTGCTTAAACTTGGACGTACTATCGTCCAAGATATAAGAGCTGAACCGATTTCAAGAAAACTTGACACACGAAAGGTTATAGCAACTTCAGTACATTTTATAAAATTGTGTGCCAGTCGGCCAAACTTTGTGTCTTTAGTGCACAATTTACATTAAATGGGACAAGAATATATGGGAGCTATATCTAAATCTGAACCGATTTTCACGCAACTTAGCACACATCAGTAATTCCGTACGCTATGCATAACGGAAAATATATATGGACTTTGGTGCCCCATTTTCCTTAAATCGGACGAAAATATATATGGAAGCTATATATAAATCTGATCCGATTTTCACAAAACTCATACATCATCTGGACCTAATTCAGTACCCTATGCCAAATTTCGAGGAAATCAAAAGATATATAAGGACTTTGGTGCATCATTTACATAAAATCGGATGAAAATATATATGGGAGCTATATCTATATCTGAACCGATTTTCACGAAACTTAGCACACATCATTATAGAGTCAATTCAGTAGAGTATGCCAAATTTCGTGCAAATCGAACGATATTTAAGGACTTTGGCGCACCATTTACATTGAATCGGACGAAAATATATATGGAAGCTATATCTAAATCTGAACCGATTTTCACGAAACTTAACACAGATCATTCTAGACTTAATTCAGTACGCTTTGCCAAATTTCGTGTAATTTAAAGGATATATAGGGACTTTGGTGCACCATTTTCATAACATCGGACGATAATATATATGGGAACTATATATAAATCTAACTCGATCGGACGAAACTATATCGCCTCATTCGGATCAGAAATGCGACCTGTACTTTGTTTGCAATTTGGACCACTAAAAAGGGGGACTTTTCATGAAGCTTTTTTGAAACATGGGCCCATATTAAAAACATTTTAACATTTCTTCATCCGAATTTAAGTAAATGGCGCATCAAAGATATACTCCCAATATATTTTTGTTTGGGTTCATGATAATTGTGCACCAAATAGTAAACGTAGTTTGCAAGATTTTGCATGACATTTTGCTAGGAATTCAGAATGATTTCAATAGATTACATATTTAATTTCGTCCTACATGGAATGTCCTCCAAAGATGTTATGTCTATTGTATATACCCTAAGTGGTGAAGGGTGAAGGGAAGTCGGACCGGACCGACTTTTTAACCATTTTGTTGGTTTTTAATTTGGTTTCTGGCCGAAAATAAGCGATTTATGCGAAGTTGATAATCCTAATACTGTTGGAATTTTTGGCATCAGATTTTTCTCGCCCGCCACCGAGTTCTTTTTCGGTTTTTCCTTCATTTAAATTCTTAATTTATATTTATCACATCATATTTAGTATTTATCACATCATATGTTTTTATTTTTAAAATCATTATTAGAACCAAATATTAGATAGACTATTTTATTTTGAATGTCATACATTCAACCATATATATTTTCAGAACTCTTTACGCCTCTGTTGTGCGAGGGGAACATAAGTGGAGATTTAAACAAAGGAACTGCCCATAAAAATGCATCGCCAGTTGTCGATTCCAAATTATTGCCAAATAAAATGAGGTACCGCCGCTCGTTATCAGTCAATTGGGTTTTCTATTCTATGGCCAAAATAAAGCTGATAAAAACGCTAGCAAATATTCCGCAACTCCATTCTAATTTCCACATCAGTTTGTCGGTGACAATAACCGTAAAGAGTAGAAGAGAAAGCATTTACCAACGATATGGGCTGTGAGTTGGCGACAGTCAAATACGCGGTTACGCTCTCCAGTATAGTTGGCGCGGTAAGTTGATTATTATCCATCCCAATTCTGGACAAGTTGGAGCCTTCTGCTAGGGTTGTGGTGAATATCTAAATATGCCGAAGATATGATTAGTTTTTGCCTATCGAAGATACGTTATCGCAGGGTACATAACGTTATAAATACAGTTTAACAGTTTAATAGAATAATTCTAAACGGAATAACAAAACAAAAAAGCGAGAAAATCAACAGTTTAAAGCTATCGAAAGAGGTTGCTGTCAATTAGTCGACTATAAGCGTTTAATAAAGATACATTGAGTGGAAGTGGTCAGCAATTTAGGAAAATGGGTTGTGCTACAGTGACAATAAAATATTCCGTATTTTTATTCAATACCCTATGTGCGGTAAGTTGCGGTAACATCCTTATTTGACGCCAATGCCGTATGTTATATGTGTACATTTTAATACTGATGAGTGGTTATGACTCTTTCAAAATGATGGTGTAGTTAAATTTGAATCAGGTCGCTATTTGTATTAAGATGAAAGTGCTTCGATAAATGCTATTTATGGCATTTAATTTAATATATCAATGGAAATAATTTTTTTGGGGTTCGTAGTATATTGCAGATCTGATAATAATGAAAGTGAAATTATTAAGAATTTTACTCAAGAATTATATTTTTATATCTAACAATATATATTAGGTTGGGAAAAAGAAATGAATTATTTTTTCGGCAGATGGCTGTACTGATAGTTGTGAGTAACAGGGTGTTAATTGAAGTGAACAAAGAGAAAATTCGACACATTTAACAGTTTTTTTTTGACAATGGTGAAAATGCAAGCCAAGCAATTTTGGTTTCGTAGATTCCGTTATGGAATATGTAGGCGTGAGATAAGGCTGTGTTTTTGTAAATTTGGACTAAAAGGGTTCAAAATGTAATAAATATGTTAATCTTGGTATTAGGCAAACGAGAATGATATTCAAAGGGGTTTTTGAAAATTCGTCCTATAAGTGTACGAAAAGTACTAAACATTACTAATTTTTTTATTAACAAAAACCAGTCAAAATGACCGCCTTCGGCAATCTAGTGTTAATTTCTCTTTCGAGATTTAGTTTAAATTTAGTTCTAATTGTATATGGGCAATATTGCCAATTTTTTAATATTCCATTTTCAAAAAATCAGCTTTTTTGTTTTTGTGGCACATAAATGATTTTTGGTACACTTATAGAGAAAAATGTTCTGACTCCGAAACCGTTCGCGATCAAATTTTTGGTTGATGCGCGCAAAAGTTATCGAGGTTTTAATTTTGGGCATAAGAAAAAAATCTTAAAATTACGCCGTTTATTATATTGACCAAAAACGTTGATATATATCTTCCTCCGTAAAATAAGAATATGAATGTATTATAATAATCACGATAAAGTTGCACATATTCGCCAAATATGAGAAAAATAAAAAATATAGCAGATTACATCAATATTTTAATTATATTAATGACATACACACCTACAAATTAATTTAAAAATATCTACATAATCTAAACACCATGATGAATCAAATGATATCAAAATCACACAAGTCCGTGAAGCGGTTTCTAAATCACAGCGACAACAAAACAAGATATTGAGGAAAAATATTTGTTTTTGGTTCGAAAAAATAATGTCATCATATTTATTTTTTTTAATTGTATACAAGAAATTTCAGAAAAAAATATTGGGGTTTTTCTGCTATTTTACCCGAATTTCGCCGAAAATTTTACATATATAATAATCACTTTTTGTGTATAAGTATACGCCTTGCGGATTATATCAAGACTCTTCCGATACATTTTAGAATTCTATAAATAGGAATAAATCTTAAAATAAAATAATATTATGAAATATACATTTTAAATTGCGTCTAAATCGCGTAATTCTCAAAATCATTTGATGCGCATGCGGTTTCCAGGAAGTACTGACGTTTATCTTCCAATCCATATATATTTTGCGAAATTTCATTTGACGGCTAAGATGTGCCGCACGTTACATTGAAGTACCCAAAAAATCGTAAAACGCGAATAATTTTCGAAAACTCCATATGCCATTAACGCGCATCCGATTTCGGTGTGCACCCTAAAAAAATACATCGATCTATACCGTTTCAATGTGGTCCATTAAGAACCATGGATGTGCCAGCAAAATCTATTTTTGAGATAAATTGCGTACATATCTCTTTCGGCTGACGTTTTTAAAGTTCTCTTTTCGAAAAAGATCAAAATCTGTATGAGGTCATTTATTGAACCGGAAATGATACACAGAAAACGCAAATAAATCCGCGATATTTTCAAAAACATTTTTTGCCTAATTTCGTGTTTTTGGAAGGCCAGTTCCCGCCGTTCTGGTAGATGGATTTTCACGAAGAAGGTTTTATATCATCCGAAACGTAAAAAAACCTTATTGATCGCGGGTACCTATATCATTCAGTTGACAGATCTAAAAATTTGGCCCGAAAAATAGGTTTTTTAGAAATTTGATCGCACAAAATTTGCGCCTTCGGATGAGTATTACTCTGAAGCTGTGCATACTACATACACGAAATACATAACAAATTACGCAGATTCGCGACTACAATAATCTTATAATCAATTTTTATAAATTCCTGTTTGCGTATTAAAGCTAGAAGTACAATTAAAAAAAACACTTAAAATCGAGCTTCAAAATGTCAGCATCATATAAAGGTAGATGCAGTTAAAATTTTGTTGGCTTCTAGTTTTATTTTGACACGAAGACCGTGCAATGAGTGGCTTAGTCACAAATCGATAGAGAACATAAAGAAACTGGTTCGCCTCAACCTGTTTTTACAAATTTTTTACGTTAAAGTAGACACAGCTTCCACCAAAATAAAGTTTGGAGGTCAATATCATGAACAGTTTGCAACGACAGATCAATTAACCCAAAACTATTCACTTTTTTCATAGACTTAAGTAGTTCCCGAGTTATAAAGGGGTGAATCTCCGTTTCAATAAGGATTTGGGTGAACGGAGAAAGCTGAAAACTTAAAATTTGGGATAATGGTTACATTTGGAGTGTAGAATTGAGATATGGGAGTATAGTAGGGGAGACAGGGGATCATTCGCCACTTTTTTAGATCTCTATATTTCAGTACTTTTTCAACAGATATAAAAACTTTATGGCTGATTTTGGTCCTCTAAAACTAAATTATTAAAACTTGTAACAAAAAGATATAATAAATAAGTATTAGTTAAAAATGTTTACAGTTTTGTAAAAAAAGTTCGGGGTAGCTTCGGCATTTCATGGGACACATTCGGCACCATAGTCACCGCTATCAGTCTGGTTGAAATTCAGATCCTCTAAAGGTTTTATTTTGTTTGAATATTTGGCTCAATTTTTGACTTTTAGCGGCGGACGTTAACGCGTCAAGACCATACACATCAGATATAGCTTTTTCGCATTTTCGTGAATACAAGAACGTTTGGTCTTATATATGCCAATTCGAACCATATTAAAAGATTATTTTTAAAGACAAACTCATTTTAAAGAAATAATATAGCACTATCTGTATATGGCCGAATGTGCCCATTTCAAAACGCCGAATCTACCCCGAATGTAAATTTTATAGCTTTTTTAATTTTCTTCTATAAATCTTCTAAAAACATTAAATTTTTAAATATTTTTGTAAGAATACACATTGTAATTAACTACTTTTTAATAATAGAGTAACTTCGGGTAATGTTGACTATGCATCTAATGTGGACCACCCCCATATCTAAGAAAATGCTTGAAATATGTCAATGCCGCCCTGATAAATGATTTCCTAATTAGTGAAAACAAACATCAAACTTGGTTTTGAATAAAGTATTGCAATGTTGAAAATGTATTTAAGCTCTGATGTGATTTGAACATTTTTTTGGACAATAGTCGAACGTTTTTGCAAACAAGTCGAACACTTTGTTTTTCTCGAATATAAAGAAATTATTTGCTTTTCTTGTTCTCTTTAACAAAAAATACGTTTAGCTGTAATTACATTCGGTGATTTTTTAATTTTTATAAAATTTTTATAAAAATATTCAATGTCGGATAATGAGGACCACTTTTAAAAAAGTGGGACATTTTCATGAGGATGATCTGAAAACTCGATATGCGAAAATACAGCTGCTTTGGTTGGATAATGAAGCAAATACCTTCAAAATACCGCAAATGGGCGATATATTTTTGCATTCATTGTTACCCTAGAGTTCAATAAATTGAAATTTATCACAACCAATCCACAACCTACCTTAAACTTATTGATCCACATTACCCGCAGTTTTGAGTTTTTTGAAATATAATGCAATAACATTTTTATTGACAAATAAATATAATTTTTGACCTGGAATATATTTAGTCAACAAATCTACTATATTATGAAAACAATTAGTTTTTATTTTTTTTTCCGCTGTTATGCCCACAATATAAAAAAACGAAAATGGTGGTCCACACTACGCGAAGTGGAGTATGTGCCTTAAAACATCTGAAAAAATAAATAAGTTTATTAGGTAGAGATTTTAACAGTTATTTCTTTTGATATTCGAAACCTATGTATCGAAGTGCCCCAGTATCCCCTACTTATGTATACTAAATGGTGCTATATTTGGTAATTGTGTGTACTAAATGGTACTAAATGTGGTACAATTTAGATTTGAAGGCGTTTTGGGAAATCGTACTTCCGTCTACAAAAAATTAAAAATGGTACTAAATTTGGATGTTGGCGAATGGATAGAACAGGAATCCTTGAACTTTTTGCCGGCTTCACCTCCTCTATTAGGATTTATTTGAAATATGTGTAATGGAATTGACATTTAAAATCTACTAGATTTAATAAATCCGGTACAATTTAAACGTACTATACGATTTTTATTGGAGTGCATGACTGAGATAGTTTTAGAAATTCGTACTTATGGGTACGAAGAGTACTAAATGTGGGTATGGTTAGAACTGGAATACTGAAAATTGCAACTACGATTACTGTCGCAGTGTAGGATTGCGATAGCATGGAATTTACGTACGAAAAGTACAGAATGATACCAAATCTGGTTCAATTTGTATTTTGATGAAAAGATTTCTTAGAAACTATTGAATATAAATATATGGTTTGTTCTGAGGCTTGAAGTGGATTTTGACGTAGAATATTTTATTCATTGACATTATATACCTAAAATTAAGTTTCATGTTACTTTAATGCACTTATTCGAAAAAAATACTGGAAAAAAATAGAAGAACATTTTGAATTTTTGGTTCAAAATGTATGAATATATATTCGGTATATACATTATATATACAGATTTCTCTTGTTCAGTGACCTTTGCTAAAAATTGATGGAGAATATTTTTGTCCCTTATACTATCCTTCGACATCTTGTAAGGA